ATGTGTCATTTGCGAAATTTGACATGAACTAGATAACATAGTCAAGAATGAAATTCAGCAGAATTAAAGCAAATTTCCTCCTTTTGAGTTTAACCATTCAAAATTGCAAAACAGGTTTATTGCATGCAGTAACAAAAACTTGCTGTACTGTTTTTATGATGATGTAGATTCAGTTTTATACTTTTCTTTTCTTTTTCAAATTAAGTTTTGTTTTCTGTTTTTTCTAAATAATTAAACTGACAGTGCTCATAGTGTTCTGTAGTGCGATCTATTTGCGAGAATGACACCACATTTTGTAGGAAGATTAAACAAGACGGGGGACGAAGGATTTTGCGAAAAAACAAATTAGTTCCAAAAGTCACCGCTAGGGAAATATTTGGCGCTGTGTAATAGAAAATAGAGTGTTAACAAATGCAAATTAATACAGAATAAAATTACCTTTTATTATGCACTTTTTTGGTTTAGTTCAAGTGCAATATGGCAACACTTTTAAAAAAGCATAAAATCTACATAAACACCGATAAAGTCTCGTGATCTGCAATATCACGTATGCTGAGCAGAAGAAGAAGTTCTTTATTCAAATTTCACGTTACATCCATTCGCACAGTGCCAGCTGCTTGGGTTTTAAAAGGTAATGTGTTAAGTTTCGAATCAATCGGATTGAAAGTTTATGTGCAATGTCTGCTTCTTTATCCGGAAAAGTCCCAAATCCGGAATCGCCGAAGTCCCGACCAGTCCAGATTTCGGACTTTGTACTGTAATATAAATTTAAGTTCAAGAATTAGTTTATTTCTTTTGGTTGATTTTTCCCACTGTGGAAGAAACTTTGCCTCTGATGGACACTTAGTGAGAGGTTTCTATATTCAGTTTTGAAGAAAGTTACCATATTCCATGGGTAATCATTCTTATATATTATAATTAAATAAATATTTTACTAAAGCTTTTAATTTTGTATCTATAACTGAAAATTAACACTGCATGATTTTCAATTAAGCTAGACTGCAGTTTTAGTATTGTTTCATTAATAAGAGAGCATCCAGAAATGTGCAAGCACATTTAAGTTAGCTGTCTTACACTGCGAGCAGTGCCTGATTTTGTGTCCCGGAATGTTTTGATTCAGATAAGTTTATTCTGAGGGATCCAGTTCCTTTATAAAATATAAAGTAACTGAAATAGATTTTACATTTTGGCAGTTGCCAAATAATGAATTATATTTTCAAGGTACTTAAATTTTCAAGCAACAGTTCCTGTTGTCCACATTGTCAATTTATTATTTAAATTTATATTTCATGTCAACATTTATAACTGTAATAGTTAGAATCTCATTATCAGTAATGTGATGCAATAAAAGCTTGACTACCAGGAAAGCTTAGGAAAATCTGGTGAAAAATCTGGATAGTTGAGTGTGTGAAATGCAATTCATAGGAAAATACAAGTGAAGAGAAGAAATATCCTGTCTACAATTATGAAACGGTCATTTTTTTGTTATCAACTTGAATATCAGAAGCCTACATTTAAAATTTTCTGAGTTTCCAAAGAAAGAAAAATATCCATTTGAGAGGGGAAAAAAAAAAAAAAAGGCTGATATATTTTGTAACCCTTAAACATATGAAAATAAAACACCAAATCTCATCGATCATGAAATTTAGCAGACTTGTGGCAGCCATTCTGGCAGAAGTCCTTCATTTAATTAGGTAATCAACAACTACAATTTACGGATAAACCATGCAAAAAACTTAAATTGCTTATTATAATTTTTCATGTTGCATTGCCGCTGTTTATCCATTTTCAAATAAAGATCCATATTGTGATGATAATGCATCTATTCTTGCGGATAGTGCTGAACTTTCGAATACTCCACTGCATGCTATTCTGTAGAAGGCAGATCCTAAATTTATATATATATATATGTGTATAATAAATTTAAACCATTTATAGTTAAAAGTAAATCAGAGTCAAAGCAGGGCGATTTCCCAACAGTACTAATAATTGATTCCTCGTAAAGGGGTTAAACATAAAATCAGATGCAATTATTAATATTGTTGAGGAATCACCTTGCTTTGACTCCAGTTTGCTTTTAATTTTAGATGCTTTAAGTTTATTTTACTTCAATCCTGCAGGTTTTGCACTGGACAGGTTTAAAAAATTTGCTTTTTATTTTTGCCTCTTATTAAGTTTCTTTATATGTTTATGTATGTATATATATATATATATATATATATATATATATATATATATAATGTTGTATGATCTTAAATTCAGTTTGAAAACAAGTTATTTTAATACTTGCGCAATAGCTGTAGCGCAATAGCGTTTCGGGGGACAATTACTTAAGTATTTTATCAATTTTACTACATAAATTGCTTTTCACTCAAAATTGTATTAGCGAAAATGCTTAAATAGAATGAGTTCTTTGGTACTCTAGTTTGGTTCTATACTTTCACTTCACGGAAATATTTGGCCTAACTTAATTTGCCAATTTGGTATCACCATTATTACTTGAGTAAAAGATGAAACACCTTCGTTATTATTTATTAATTATTGTTCATTGAATGGGAGTTGGTTTGTTCCCCTTGAAAAGTCAACTAATTTCCGATGAATAGCAATAATTACTTGCTTTTAATGTAGTTTCTTTTTCCAATTGAAATTTGTTATTCATGATTTACTTCAAGTCCCCGTGAAACATTTTTAACAATTTACATTCAAGTTACTTTAAAACAATTTTCAGAATTAAACTTTGTACTTATGGGTTCACTCTTTTTAGATACTTCTACTGAAATTAATATTAGGAGATAATATAATGAATATTTCTTTAGTAAATAAATTATATATTTCCCAAAATGCAAAGCAAAAACAAGTAAATAGCAGATAAGTTATGCCCATTTGTACAAAATCTAAACTTATTGAGAATCAGTTGGATTTAAATAAAACCAAACTAAAGATATTGTTATGAAATGTTCAGGTATGGTGAGATAACTTCCCTGCAAAGCAATTTTAGGGTTGCCATAAAATGACAAGATAAGGCAGGGTTGTCACATTTGACAGGAAATCGCCCATTTGGCGACAAAATTGACTATATGCCATGGATGGACGGAGAACCTTCTGGAATGAATTCTTACCGGTTTAGCCCAGAATGTTCTCGAACACCAGCCAAAAGCTATATAAACCCTGCTGGTATGCGGAGAGTTAGTATCAAGTTGGTGTCTCATAGCAAGTCAATCCCTATGGAGTCGATCGCATTGACACCTGGGCAGCGATTGCCGAGTGGGTCGTCAAGTGCACTGAAAGAATCTCGTTGTGTATCGCGGTTAGTGCTTCATCGAGAGAGCGTGTTGAGCTCCGGGAACGACTGAACGGAAAAGTCGGGAACTGTGCTCTGTGTGTCATCGAGTGCAATTGCAAGTTGTAGCGGGGAGAGTCTCGAGAGTATATGGAGTTCCGAGAACGACCAAGCAGAGTCGGGAGCTGTACTGTGGTGCTTTGCAGTGAAGCTATCTCCACCGTTATAGCCTGAAGGCTGTGACTTTGATTGTTGCAGCGAGTTTATAGTAGACCTTCGACGGCTGTAAAACGTGACTTTGGAGCTGTCCTGATTAATACTGGCCAATAAAGCATGTTTCGATATTTCATCGAGTGTTGTCATTGTTATTCACTCTAAATCCACACGAACCACATAAGAATGTGAAGGACAAAAATAACGTAACAACTGGTGTCAGAAGTGGAATTTGTGAGTGAATGCCAGTGACCCGCCTGCAGAGGAAAGCCATGGTGGAGAAATGAAGACTTTGATGGACTTCTTGGCCGAGATAAAAGCCGGTTATGAAGAGATGAAGGCTGAAATGAAAGCCGGGCTGGCTGAGATAAAAGCCAGATATGAGTCTCGAGAGCACGTGGAGTTCCGAGAACGACCAAGCAGAGTCGAAAGCTGTACTCTAGTGCTTTGCCGTGAAGCTGTTTCCTACGTTATAGCCTGATAACCTGAAGGCTGTGTCTTTGATTGTTCCAGTGAGTTTATAGTAGATCTTCGACGACTGTAAAACGTGACTTTGGAGCTGTCCTGATGAATACTGGCCAATAAAGTGTGTTTCAATATTCCATCAAGTGTTGTCGTTGTTATTCACTCCAGATCCACACAAATCTCATAAGAACGTGAAGGAAGAAAATAGCGTAACAAATGGTGTCAAAAAAGAAAAGCGCAACAATATTATGATTGTGTTGTGATGTTATGTTTATGCATTATTGGTACTAAATCATTCTGTTTGGGGATAGTATTTTACCTATGCTTTACAATGGCTATATAAGTCTGTCATTTGCTTAATTTTTTAAGGGAAAAAATAGTTTTTGAAAGTCTAAAGTATTGTGGTTACTTGAGCTTTCAGTTAGTTAAATGCCAGATGGTTAAGCTTTAACTGTATTATTAAGAGTGGGAAGTTCTTAACAAAGTAATGAATTTTCTGTAAATATTATTGAAAATTGGAATTTAGAGCAATATAGCTATGTGATTTTTTAGCATGTAATGGCTATTATTTGAAGCAAAGCGGATTCAAACTAAAACATCCTAAAATTTGAAAGCAACTAATGTAAACACACGTATAAGAATGGGACAATAACTTTAATGAGCTTTTAAAATTTATCTTCTTTTTGTAATATTTAATGTGTTTTTCTTTAAAAAAAATCAGTTGTTTTTTTAAAATCTGATATTATGTATTCTTCCATTTTTATCTAAATATAACGATTTCTCTTTATGACTTGAAATCTGCAAAAAACCAGAAGCACCCAGTAGTTCTGTGTTATACAGATTTTTGGTCTTTTATATAGTAGCTGCATTATAAAAATGGCATAACTTTAATAAAAAAAATTTTTTTTAACCAAATATTTCATTAAAAACAGAAGCTCTTTTCTTGATGGCAGAGCTTGAAAATAAAAATGTGAGGTAAGTATTTAATTACTTAATATACTATAGTGTATTGAATTTATGTATCTATTTTTTCTTTGATTAGGGAACTAGCGTACTCTCGCCGTCTATACCTATCGGAATTGTCATAACTCTTGCTTTTATGATTTATCAGAAGTCTACAGAAAACATTTATGAAAATCATCCTTGTCTGTACATTTTGGCTTTTGGCATAGTAGCTGCCAAAGTCACAAATAAATTAGTTGTAAGTACTATGAATTTTATTCATCGTAGTTAGTCATGTTATGTATGTTAGTCATATTATTAATTCATAAACATAGCTTGTTTCATTAAATATGTTAAAAATTTTTAAAAAAGTTTTCCATATTTTTTTCCTTTGAAAAACTTAATTAAAAATAAATTGTTTTTTCTCCTTTTTCTTTCAACTTTTTCGTCATGACAGTAGATTTGGGGGGGGGGGGGGATAAAGTACATGATATAACTTGCCACTGTGAACTTACTTGTTGACTGACATTAAAAATAATTTTACTTTACAAATGCCAAACATTAGTGCTTAAGCCAGTTCATAGGCTCTCCAGTACTTTTTAACAATGTCCTCATATCGAGAAAGTACAGTTATTTAAATGCAATACAGTTATTTAACTGTTAAAAAATCATAGGCTGATTGGAGTCACACAAAATAAGGCAAAATACAGTTTGAGGAATCCACAACTCAGTTCTGTAGAGGTGGTCTTGCAAACAATCATGTCTGGTCAGACGTATAAATAGAGCTACCGCTGTCTTTCTTGGAAAACTGGGGGAAAAATAATAAGGGGAGTTTAAATAGCTGTAGCTATGCTGGAAAGCTTTATATTCTGATTGTTTATAAGTTTTCATGACTGTAGTTAAATTAACATGTATATAAATCCAGAATGAGGGAATAAATCGGATGCTGAAGAATTATGACGGCTCAAAACTGTTTTTCAAAGTAGCTAGCTGTGGTAAAAATGCAGAGCACTAGCGGGGCACATAACGCTGCTTCATCATGACTCTGACAAAGAAGGATCATGCTCTGCTCATGAAGTTTTACTATCAGAAAGGTGACTGTGCATTAACGGGAAGTTCTAGACATAAAGGCATAAGATCCAGCCCAGTGACCATATATGGCCTGCAAAAAATGCTAGATAAATTCGAAGAGACTGGTTCATTTGACTTGAAACGAGGTAGAAGACGAAAACCAGTTTGGCAACAGTGGAAGATATGTCCTTAGTGCTACAAGAACAGATCAGACAGTGATGCGGGAAAAAGTAGTGCACGAGGAATTGGCCAAATGTTGGATATGCCTATCAGCACCAGGACTTAAAAGAGAAGGGCTAGCTCATAAAGCTTTTCCCCCTGAAACAGGCAGTGAGGCGTGATGACGCAGTCATGCTCACCCTGAACACAGAGATGCAATTCAAAACATAGAAATTAGCGTTTTTCAACCAGCGTTTAAAATGAGATGTGTATGAAAGATAGCTATAATTTGGAATAGACAATATTACTGCTGTATGCATTTTACACTGAACATTACAAAAATTAATAATACTTAGTTTTAAAATAATAGATAAAATACGCTACTCTTAGCATAAAGTTCCTCTTTAAAAATTTGCAGATTTTTTTTTTTTGTTTTCTTTAAATGCATGTTTATTTCTAATCATTTCTTTATCTGCATGTTAACTAAGGGAACTCTACTACTGCTTCTAAGATAACATGCGCATAGGCATTTACACATGTGTGTAATACTTTTATGCATATGCATATGCGTGTGTGCATGTGCATAATACGTTTACGCATGCTCATTTAATGTATGACGGACGGTATAAGCCAAGCTAAAATTATCTAATTATCTATTTCAGTTAATGTTGCAGATTGTGTTGTTTCTTAATCTTCGAATTGGATCTAGCTTATTATTTTTTGCAGACTGTTAGAGCAATTTTATAAAAGTAAGCTTGAACTTTCGATTATGTCAAATAGAATTTCCGATGCTGGAGCTGCCAAAGCGAAAATATGTTTCGATGTCCATCAAACAAAAGTGGAATTGCTGCCAAAAATGGATAAAGGCATATCCTTTGTTGTTCTAACCATTCCGAAATCTGTTTATCAATTTCACGCTGCTCTGCAGAAGGGGGGGGGCGTCGCGGCACGCAATGAACTGGAAGTTGATCTGTCAGCACTATTCTTATCTTCAGGGCAGATGTTTTTATTTTATTTAGCTTATAATTCCTTACTAAATGTAGTATTTCATCTCGATGTACTTTATCTTTGATATGATTTAAATCAAATTCCTCGTCATAAATATCACGAATACACATCAAATAGTTTTCTGGTTGCAATTTTGACTATGCGTAATGTATGCTTTACACATGTGAGCGTTGAAAGAAATGTTTAATAAAGTAAACAAATAAATATTAAGTTTTTTTTTTTGTAAATTTTGATACCCTTTAGATCATAATTGCCCTTTATTTCATAAATTATGGTTTCATATTTTTAATTTTATAATTTCTGCATGCCATCTTATCAGATTTAAACTGATGATCTTATAATCGGGAATCGAAGTGCCAACGAGTCCGGATTAAAGACTTTTGACTGTATATATGGCAAAATTTCTGCTAATCTAAGTTTGAGTTTCAGCCTAATTGTAAATTTTACATTGCCATATTTTTCTCTCAATTTAATATAATAACAGATATATTTTTAATAATTTTGTAACTTAGGCTTACATCAATATTACATTTAAATAAATACATGTTAAGATTATTACCTTAATTTAGACAAAACAACTTTACACTCAGTATCTAGAAAAATCATTTAATTTTGCAAAAGTAGTTGTTAAGGAGGCAGGTTTTCTTATGCCAATTACTTTAATGTTATACTACAGTACAAAGTCCGAAATCCGGACGTCCATTATCCAGAATGATCTAAAATCCGGACCTCAAAGCCACAAACATTTTTTTTCTTTTATTAATGCTTTATGCATGCGCATTTGATTTCTCCTTCCATGATAAAACGTGGAGATTTTCACTTAAGCACTAAATAAAATACCTCATTATGGAAACACAATCATGTAAGCATAAATTTGTGAGATTAATAATTTGGCTCCACAGCTGAGTATCTACTTGGCATACGTATCAAACCAAAATATTCACCTATTTTATATCCCTGCCACCAATGACTTTCTTCATTAATTCCAAAACTTGAATTTGTTTTTCATGATTTCATTTAATCCAAATGCTGCTTTAAGTATTTTATCTGAAGGAGTGTATGGCTTGGTACTATTCATAACATCGAAAAAATGATCAATTAACTCAAAGAAGTCAGATGCTTTTTGATTTCCTGGGGAGTATACCTTTTGTGGTAGTTCTTGAAAGTAATGTTTTCGCTGGAGCAACTTTTTGCCTCTCATTTCCCTCGACCATAATGTGGTTTTTGTTTGTGACACAATTTAATTTCTCCTGAATCTTTATTTAAAACTTCTTTAATAATATCAACATTTAAAACAGTTCCATCTTCTAAAACAAGTCCTTTATCTAAAAAGCGGTTTCTCAGTAATTTGAGGCAGTGTGCTAAATCTGCAAAAACTCATATTTTTTTCATTTGCAATACGGGATTTGGAAAGTGAGAACTATTAATCGAAATCTGTAACTCTTTCCACAGAGTGCTACATCCTCCTAAATCAGACACTATTGATTTTACTTCTACTCCAGATGATTGAATATATCTTACGAGTGAAAAAAGAAGTTCTTTCTTCATTGGAGTGTTAAAATTAAAAAAATAAATAAATAAATAAATAAATAAATATTGGTTTCCACTGTGAAATGAGACCTCTGATTAAAACAAATTGCACTTTTTGAGAATTGGGTCCAGATAAGAATTGCAGCAAAGTTTAAAATCTATATGCATTTCGTCGAAACTGAGAACGCATATTTTTTGTACAGAATTCAGATATTCGCATCTTTCCTTCATTACAGCAAGAACGTCACTCTGAATTCCTGGACTATACGAAAATTTAGTGTACCATCTCTTTAACCCTTTGCGTCACAGTGTGTCCGGTCTGGACACACCTAAAATTTTTTTTCTGTATGCACAGAAAAATTGAATGAAAAGGATTTATAGGCTACTATAGGATACTCTGAGCTTTCTTTATTTATAGTAGATGGCAGCTCAACACAAACCAGTCTGTATATTTCAGCCATGTTTAGTTTTTTGAGACCCTCATTTTTCAAAGAAATCTTCCAGATTTTTTTTTAGAGTATAAAAGGAATTGTTTGAAAAGAAATTTCTATGTTATTTTTTTGGCTGTATGCTAAGCTCCTTATTCTATATTAGTTTCAAATTTTTACCTTGAAATCTTGCCTAAAATCAAACGGCGAACTCTAGGTGTGCTCAGACCGGGCTCGTCGATAATTTAGGACAACTGAGAGTCTGTATTCTTTGTTTCTCCGCATCTCATCGGTCACTTCATTGACAACAATGCTCGTTTCACACTCTTTTCAAAGCTGTATTCAATCAGTGTGTCCAGTTTGGGCACACCCACAGAATTAAAACAATAAGTGCCATCTTCACAAAATTTTACTTGTGTACTCCTCTAAGGCCTAATTAGACTGCCTACCTTTTTTATAATCAAAACTCCGACTTTAAAAAGTAGTGTGACGGAAAGGGTGAATGTGCTAGTACTAGGTAAAGGAATTTCCATTTTTTTCTTTTCAAAAATCGTAGCTTTTAGATGATAGAGCTCTTATGACAATGTAGCGTGAAATATATTCGTTAGTCCACCTGATTTTTTCCTTCTTTTCTAGGAATGCATTAACCTGTGTCTTTGTAAAAATATCTTTTAGACCTTTTTACAAATTCTCCGATCTGTGCTGTTTTTTCCTAAATTTCGTTATTTGGGATTTTAATTTCTGAATTTCCAATGCAATTTTCTTTTTATATGTTGTCCACCTTCTTTGTCATTGAGCAAACATTCTAAAATTTTTCTTTTCTTTATTTTTCAATATTTTATTACAATTTTCTAAGGATATTATTTTGTTCTTCAAATTATCAATGCATTCTTGTTTATCTTTACACTTAGGGCATTCAGGGATATTGTCACTTAGGGTATTGTCATTCGTGAGTTTTATTTTAAAATCATTCACATTTGATTTATTATTGTCAGCTTAAATTCCATTTTTGGCCTCAAAATGAATTTTCTTTGGGCTTAGTCCTTGAACTCTTTCAAAAGCACTCTGCATTAGTTTTCTTTTCACTTGTCTCCGATTTCTTGGTGTTATTTTGTTTACTGCACACGATAAATTTGCTTTCGGCACAGCATTGCATTTCAACAGTTTCTTTTGCAGCAATCCAAGCAAGCGATGTCTCATGTCATCCTCATAATCACCGCACCGAAAACGTTCATTCACTGCAAATTCTTGTGTTTTTCACATTAATAGAATCCTGTCTTCGACATTTATGTATCCATTCTTTCGTCAAAAGTAAATTGTCATTTGGGAGAGCATGATATACAATATCTTTTCCTTTCGTATTTCTATAAGTGTTACGGCATGTTGCTACAGCACAAGGAGACATATTACATAAACGATACTTTACAATACAGAATTTAACAGGAAAACTATATATATATATATATATATACAAATTATTTTAAATATTTAAATTATTAGAAAACAAGTATGTATGATTAATATTAATTTTGGATATGCGACTTCCAGAAAATCATGTTGCAACTGAATGAAACTACAGTTTTAAACGCCCGAAATCAGAGCAGGTGCAGCACAGACACGTCAGATTACTTCTGGTTAACCCCCTCCATGTGGCTTGTGTTGGCGAAGAGTCAAACAAAGGGATGACCTAGCCCTTTTTATTTATCCCTGTATCAGCATGGGACGTAAAGTCCTATGGAGCATCTTGCTCTGTAATGAGTGCACTCACTTGCAAATGAGTTATCTTGCTTTTGAAATGACAGAATCATTTTCCAACTGTGTGGTCACTAGGTTCTTCCAACTTGTGTGATTTTTGGCTTTGGGGATACCAGAAGAATGTTGTTTAGAGCGGGAAGATTGTAAATCTGGGCCACTTGAAGGTAAGCATCACACACCACATTTATAGCATCAGCACAGATACCCTGCAATCTGTTTTGGAACATGGAGTTTTGTGTTTCCAGCTATAGCGGAACAAGGTGGACGGCATATTGAACAAGTTTTATGCATTAATCATAAGGTATTTGTTTCATGAAGCTTACCTTTTCACTTGCCACTGTCGCTGTTTCCACTGTAAACATGTATTCTTTTCTTTTTGCTAATAAATTTGTCATAAACCATTGAAGTCTGTCTTCTCCTTTCAGCTAACATCATTCCTGTGTTTAATGAGTCCATTTAGGTCTTTTCCCTGAAATTACCTCGACAGCGCCATCTATCGGTACATTCTGGAACTTTTTTTTTTCTCTTTCGAAACAAAATTCCATTGCCTCGCAATTGTCCTAGTAAAATATCAAGTCATTTTGACCAGTAGTTTTAAAGTTAGAGCATTTTGAAATCGCAACTTTAATTATAATCACCCTGTCGTATGGGCTTCTAAAAGCTTTGGGAGACATTGACAGTCGAGACCTATAAGGAGCATATTTGCATATAATTTATGTTCTGTTTGATCTACTTTTCCAATTTAAATATTACTGCACTCAGAATTGAAAAATCTGCAATTCTATATAAGAAACAAATGCTTATGTACAAAATATGTGACCACAAATAAAAATTATCTCAAAAGCAACAAATAAATAAAGCATTAAGTAAGTCAATGCATAATATTCCAACAACACATAAAAACAACAATGCAATCAAAATGGATAACAATATTATGCAAATTAAATTTAAGGCAGAATCATGTAGTATTTAAGAAATCTTGTAGCATCACAAATTTTGTTATCTTGCTCAGGTACTAAACGATATACGCTGTTTGATGAGCAGATGATATATGTAATTTTGCAACGTGTGTTTAATGGCTTCTCAGACACCACTTTAAATACTTTTGCTATCTTTGTCTGCAAAGTTTCATTATCTAGAATTTGTGAATTATAAATTTTTTCATAAGTGTGATCCCTCAGAAAAAAGCTACATGTATAATATTGGGAGAATTTGAAGGGTATTGTATTGGGCCAACACTTCCAATCCAATTATTTAGAATGCTTTTTTATTCACGTAACAATGAATACAGGAATTCCCATATATCAATGCATCTTTTTATTAAGAAACTGTTCTTGGCTGAAAAACTTCTAATTGAGATGCAGCATAAAGTTGCAGTATGTTGAAGTAAGTATTTTAAGAAATATTAAATTAATGTCTAGGAAATATCCATTAATTGGCCTCCTGGTACATGTGTTTTGTTTGTTTGCATTCTCCAGAGAGATGAAAGTTAGCCTAATGAGGAAAATAATATTTTAATTAATTTGTTGCAGAATGTAGCTAGCAAAAGCATTCTGGTAACAACTTCATCAGTTCATTGTAGAATCTAAATAGCAATTCATCATAAATAAAATAATCATTGCCTTTGTTTGTTTATAGCAAGAACTGGATAACAAAAGAAGCACATCAGGAAATGGTCATATAGCCATAAAGTTTGAATGATTTATATCTTGTATGTTTGCAAATGAAGCCATTTTTAACCCTTGCTCTCTGAGAAATTACATGATGCTTGGAGTCACAACATGTTGCTTTCTGAGAACTATGTAGATGCTAGCAATGTTAGAAGATGAGTTAAACATTTTAAATATGGAAATACAAGCATTGAAGATAAACTTCAGAGCAGTTGTTCAAGTGTTGCTTTAACTGAATGCAACACAGAAAGAGTTGATGACCTCATTAAAGAAGATAAACAAGTCATGAATATAATTGCTGTATTTAATATAGAGTATATAGTGCAAGAAATGATTGCAAGTTTAGGGTGTTAAATTTATTTTCGGCTTACAAGTGCTAATGGCTGACTTATGCAAATAACACTGCTGCAAAAACATGCAAATAACACTGCTGCAAAAATATGCAAATAGCACTGCTGCAAAAATATGCAAATAGCACTGCTGACAGTTAATGAACACTGGTGATGAGTGCAATTTTCATCACTTAACTGGAAACAAAGTGACAGAACATGGAATGGCACTATTCTACACTACCCCTGTTTTCCCCCTCCCCCCAAAACTGCCAAGTGTCATCGAAATTATTAACACTGTTTTCTGGGATGCAAAGAAGTGCATTCTAGTTTAAATTTTTTATTCTGAGAAAATCATAAATACTTGATATATTGTGCAACACTTCATAAGCTTTGTCAAAATATTGTGAGATAAATATCTTGGAAGAAAGTCATAATTCAACTTGATAATACACATCTCAGTTGACCAAAAAGGAAATTGGGAAGTTCTGCCTTACTTTCTCTACAGTTCTGATCATGCACCTTTTGACTATCATGTGTTTCGTTTTTTGAAGGACAGTTCTGAGAAAGTTTTGAAGGACAGTATTACTAGACAAAGGAGGACAAAGTGGTGCAAGCAGTATCTGTGAACCATTGGAAAATTTACTGGAAGAGTATTTTCAAGTTTTGAAAAAGGTGGAGGAAATATATGCCCCCCCCCCAAAAAAAAAAAGATGTTGAAGAGTAAATAAATGTAGATTAAGATATATTGTATTTTTCTGTAAGAAAATAAAAACTTAATTCCTGGAAAATCATTACTCATTAATTTCAGTATGGCTTTTGTATGTGAAATGTAGTGTCTTTATGCCAATAACTATGATAAAATTCGAAGATTGATTCATAAAATTAATAAACATAGCTCATTTGCAGAAAACAAGCTAAAACCATTATGCAGAATCCTCCTCCCTCTCTTCCTACTACTACTAACAATAAAGTAATCGGAAAAAGAAAACTCAGTTTCATAGCAACTATGGTAGGTATTACCAAAACTAATAATAGACTTGAAGACATTTAATAAACTGGAACAGATTTTACAAAATCCTAAGCGTGTGCCTTTGACTTTTTATAATATTTCTTTTAGTTCTTGTAAATTTTAAATATAATGATATGAAATTGCTTTGCTTATATATTCAAATAATTAATGTTATAACTTTATATCTTTCTTGGATAATTATGTTTTATTATTTTAGGTTGCCCACATGACCAGAAGTGAATTAGATTATTTTGATTCCATCTTAATAGGACCTGGCATGCTGTTTTTTAATCAATACTTTAACACATTTATTAATGAATATATTGTTTTATGGTTGTGTCTGGTAAGAAAAATTAATTTATTTTTTAAATTTTATATCTGATTATTTTTGCCTGACAATCTTAATTTTATTGTAGTTTTGGAAAGATAGAAACATTTTTTTTTTTCTATTTCTAATTTTTTCATTAAACAGCAAGTATGTTAAAAGAAATGATTCTTCATATCATGTTATGAGTCATATTGTTTCAAGTTTGAGATTCTATGTATCAGAAATACACTGAAAACAATTTTAAAATAGCAAAAAGCATACAGAATTATTAAACCAACATTTTTGATCGTATTTCTTTTAAATCTGTAGATTCAAACATATGAACTATTTAAATCTATCTTAGTTAAATTCAAAGGCTATTGTGAAGATTGCAACAAAAACATCCTATTTGTATGTTTCTTATTATTTATATATGTGTGTTCTTGACATCTTGTTTATGTAAATGTCAGTTATATTTCCCTATATAAGAGCAGCATTTTGTGGAAAGAGAACATATTTCTAAATTAGAATTATGTATGCATTAAAATATATTGGGTCATCTGGAAAGTTATGCTGAAATTTTTTTTTTATGATAAATACAAATGAAACAGTACAAAAACATGAAAATTTCATTCAGTCACATACAACACTATTTTGTTCTGTGACTTTTGTCATTTCTTTGCCAGCTGAAAAATACCTTTTTTGAAAAAGTAATTAGGTCTATTTATTAAGAAGTTATCGAGGTGCTGTTTAAAAGTCGGCAAAGAAGTGAACTTCAAGCTGTTTAGAGAATTTTGAAGTGACCTGAAGAGATGAAAATCAGAGGGGGCAAGGTCTGTTGAATGCAGGAGGAGGTGACAGAAATCATCCCAGCCATACTTAACAAGTCTTTGTCTGACAGCCATCCAAACGTGGGGCCGGACATTGTCATGATGGTGGATAGCACCTCAATAATTGGTCACTTTGCTTCAAATTCTACTGTTAAAACTACAATTTGGGAACAGTTAGTTTGTTGTCTGTTTTGGTGGCAGCAATTCCTTTGCAGCCCCAGCATACACAAAGCATTACTTTCTTTGCAATGCAGCCCCTCATCTCAATGTCACATGTCACTTAAGGAGGTTCTTTTGGCTTATCCAACGATCTTTTCCTTGTGGCATTATTCATAGTATCTACTTCTCATCTCCAGCAATGAGCCATTCAAAAAAGGGATTTCTTTGTTTCTTTTCAACAAAGAATCACCTGCCGAAATTTAATCATATTTTGCTCTGTTAAAGTTTGGGGCACTTATACATATTTTTAGTGGCTTACACTCCTAATTTTCTTTAATCTGTTGTACTTTTTGGAATATTTAGTTTGTCTGATAGTTTTTGAACTGTAATCTAAATACTGATTCAGAAGTCAAACAACAAAAATCAGCGTTATATTTTCAAAATTTTCACAGGACTAGTTTTGATGGTTTTACTGAACCACCATCCTCAGCTGCAAAACCGCAAATGAACAAGATAGGAAATAATGATTAGATAAGATAAGAAAGCCTGGACAAGAATAAGCAAATGGCGCCATCTGTTGATGAAACCAGAACTAAAACATAATTTCTTTAAAGGCCGAAGGCAAAGATGGATTGGAATTAGGATCGTTAACTAGAACAGAAAGATTTTTTTTTTAATGTGAAATGCATCTAGAAAATCCAGTTCTCCAATGGAAGATGTTTTTTGAATAATTTTGGCAGCAGAAAATTGAAAGTGTGATTTTCGGACCAACAACATTGAGCAACAGATGCTCTGTGTTTCCTTTTTTCTAACATATGCCTCATGTTCCTTGACATGAAATTTTAAGACTCTCTTAGTTTGGCCAATGTAAATTAAACCACACTGGCAAGGAATCCTATAAATACCCCAGGAATTCATATCTGGAATGGGGTCCTTGAGTATGGAACTCAGAATTTTATTGATGGGAGAATAAACAACCCGAAAGTTAAATTTCTGCAAAATATGTGCAACTTTATAGCTAAATGATGGAAAGAAGGGAATGACAGCAGAATTTTTATAATCTCCTAAAACAAGAGTGTGCCTTTTAGTGTGTTGAGATGAGAATTTTTTAACTGCTTTAATTAATAATGTTGGGTGAAAAGCCCCTGTCAATAGCTATTGCTTTTAAGTAATTAGTTCTTCATCAAGGGATAGTTTAGAGGAGCAAACTTGAAGGAGCACGGAAAACATAGAAATAAAATGAAGCTAACTTTTGTTTAGTCGGATGACATGATTTAAAGTGTGGTGGAAGGCAAACCGATGAAGCTTTATGGTAAACCGTAGTACTGAAGTTGGATGTGTTACGTGTGACCAGAATGTCGAGAAATGGAAGAGAATTTCAAGTCTCAAGTTCAGAAGTGAACTGAATAGCAGGATCAATAGAGTTGTTGAAAGAACTTTATTTAAATCATGTTTATTACCTTCAAACAGGGTAAAAGTATCATCTACGTAACGGAACCATGCCAGGAAGTTTAAAGTTTCAAACAAATTTGATTCATAATAATGCATGTAGATATCAGCCAGGATGGGACTGAGGGGGCTTCCCATGGCTAATCCCTCAGTTTGCTTGTAATATTTATTTTGGAAAACAAAATGTGTTTGTTTCAAACAGAGTTGAGTGAGAGAAATTAGCTCATCAATTTCGATGCAAGAGAAATGAAATTCGCGAAGTCTGGTTTCTAGATATCTTAATGCTCTCCACTGGATCATTGGTGAATAATGATTTTATATCAAAAGAAACCTGAGTAAATTTCTAGGAGAAATGTTTTTAACCTTTTTTACAAACTCTATTGAATTTTTTATGGTGTAAATGTTATTGTCTAATAGAGTTGAAAATCTAGAAACTAAATATTTAGCTAATGGATATGAGGCAGTACCTAAATTTGATACAATAGGGCGGAAAGGAATACCACTTTTATGAATTTGGGAAAGAGCATATAATCTGGCACAATTCGCAACAGATGGGATAAGCGAATGTTTTACGTTGCTTGAAATGATTTGTGAAGATTTGATCGCAGTTTTTATTTTTGACAGGTCCGAAGGTGAAGGATTTAGGGATCGGATTATATGGTCCTTCGTTTAAGAGTTTAGTGACACCATCGATGTAAGTGTTTTTATCCATGATGACTATCTGGCCACCTTTGTCGGCTTTTGAAATGCTAATATCTGGGTTAAAATGAATTTCGGGCATTGTAGCTCTTTCTCTCACAGTTAGATTTGGTTTCAAAGGTTTATTATTGAATTTCACATTATGAGCGATAAGATGCCTAATCATTTCTTTCTGTGAATCTGAAACTTTACTGAACTTGAAAGCTTTTTTGATAGGAGCCAAAATCTTTGGAATCGAGGGTTTACAGGTTTGTGAGAAGTTAAAATTATATTTTAGAATTCTCTCTTGTTCTTCTGAAAGACTAACATTAGAAATATTAAATATTGGTTTGATGTTTACAATGGGAATATTTTATGAACTACTTGAACTGGAAGACTGTAAAAGAAGTTTTTCAAATTTAACTGCAAGGGTATTTTTATGACGGTTAACTGCATTTCATTTCAAGAAGCTGAGCTGATTTCTGTAATCTAGATATTTAGCAACATCCTTTTACAGAGAATTTTTATTCTAAGCGGGCATCATCTTCAAGACTGAAACTTCCATGCTTCAGCTTCTCAAATCAACTTTTGAATTGGATCATCAGAAACAGTACTTCATCCATATACAGAGTTATGTATGCATGTAATTTTATGAGCAGTCTGACTAGTATTTCTTCCTTTTTTAAAATAATAGCATAATATGATGAAAATGAGCATTTGAGTTGTCCATTCTAACTAAGCATGTCACTGAAAAAAAATAATGTCTCAGCACATGCCAGAATTATGCAACATGAGCAAGAAAGACTTTATTTAAAATCTGCTTCAATCAAGTTTATTCCTAATGAGCAGTAACAAAATAGTTAGAAGAAAATACATTTTGAAAAACTGCAGAATTTTCCAGAGGACTCAATATTTTTGTTGTACATTTAGCAATACTTGAAATGAAATTGATGTATTGAGCTTTTTGAATGCTGAGCTGATTTCTGTTGTATTATTTTTATTACAATGAAAAAAATATATTGCACATGCAATTTTAAGATGAAATTTAAACTGCTTGTATTACTGTTATAAACAATCAGCATTGCGTACCAAATGGCTCAGTGTGAACACCGAGCTGCTTGGTTTAACTGAAAAAAAGTTGTTAATATTTTTATTTCTCAGGTTTTGAACAAGCCGATAAAATGGAGTTTTGATGGTTTTCTCATATATGTAATATAAATAAAACTCATTTGCCATTTAAATGATGCGTCCTAAAAAAGAGTCATATATATTAGACACATAATAAATATTTCAACTCGGTTGGATGTTTTTTTCATGGCTGGCATGATATAAACCAGTTTTTTTTTTAGAAGACCTTGATATGGCATTCCTTGGGTTAGGTTAGGGTTCAGGTTATTTAATTGTGGCAAAGTGCAAAAGGTCTATCTGCCTAAGAGAAGGATGCTTTCATGGAAGGCTCTGTAAGAGAAATTATCTTGTATCTATGTTACACATGGGGAAAACCATGAAACTGCCCACGTAACCAGCCTGCTTACCTGGAATAGAACCTTCATCAAACTACCAGTATTTAGTGATTTTATTGCTCGGCTGTTGCATTGCTTTCTTTAGCTGACATCTCTGAAATAATTTGCCATAATCCCTTAAATCTCCCTCCAGTATATTTTGAAATCCTTTTTTCTAGGTCAAGTATGTCTTCATTATTGGAAGTAGTAAAAAATCCTTTGCAGAACTGAAAAATTTGGCAAGGGGGTTAATTAATTAATTTTTTTTTTTTTTTTTTTTTTTTTTTTTTTTTTTTTATAAATGTTTAGGCAGAATTCAGTCTTTGATTGGCATTGACTTTTATGGAAAGGTCTGTGGCTTTTGACAGATTTCTTTTTCAGAGAACAAAAGTATTTTATGGCCAGATATTGCTGTTTAAACGAACAAAATAAAGGTGAATCAAAATGTAAAGTAACACACTATTATTATTATTATTATTATTCAACTATGATGTTATTGATGTAGAACCTTTTTTGCTTATGATTTATATACATATAAATTTAATTATTATCCACTTAACTATAAGCTGTTGTGATTCTTTTCAGGTGTATTCAGTTGCAGATTTACTTCACTATTGTACAATAGTCTGTAATCAAATTTGCAATCATATGAACATACAGTTATTCAAAATAACACCAAAATTACAACCAGTTTACAATAGTGTCACAACTGCCAACCAACAACAGAAATTGACTGATTGGAAGTTAAAAAAATAATTAAGTGTTTTTACAAGACAGAAAATAAAAGACTATTCAAAATTATTTTCTCATTGTAATATGTGGTTACAATTTATAAATAATCTATATAATTTTGCATACACTGTACTTGCATTTAATCTATTTATTATAAATGTTTTCAAAATGTATTGTTTCCAAATGTGATGTAAGTCACTACTTTGAGAGATAATTTCCAATTTTCACTTCCAGTAGCAGATGTTTTTACTATACAAAATTAAGATGTGTCAAAAATGAAAATTAAAAACTCCATAATGTGCCTGTTTATACAATTCCTGTAATGGGCATTTTTAGTGCATCTCTCTTATTTTATAATATTAAATCGTAAACTTTGTATTGTATTTTGTATGCAAAATAATAATATATTTTATGAATATTTATTAAAACTATGTGAATATTATAATCCTAAATAAATAATTCTGTTTTCAATTATAATTAATGATTACTTGCTCGATAGCTAAAAAGATTGATCTCAATTATATCTAAGAAGGTGAATATTATATTACAGTGAAATTTTTTATGGAAGTTTTAAATCCTGAAAATAAATTTATCTTCTGACTTTTAAATCATGCTTCTACTGTATGTAAATTCAGCATTAAAGATGTGTTTAAATATTGTCACCCTTGGTACATACAAAATAAAAAAAAATTCATTTCCTTTTTGTAATACTTTTGTGATAAAATGTTTGTCTTCAGCACTAATGTTTTGATTGCATTTCCTAGTCTTGTATATGTGCATTTGTTTGAAGAATGATAATTTACAGTCAGAGTTAAGTAATTTTCTTTTCAAAGTTTTATTTAATATTGTTATTATCATGTTTTAAATATTTTCGAGGGAGAAAAGCTTGCTTTATTGACTTCTTATAGTAAGCGAAGAAAGTTTTTACAGTAACTTACAGCAGAGAAATTTTATTTCACGATAAGTAAAATTTTACTTTTTGTGTAATTATTTATAATTTAAAGAAATATAAAACTATTTTAAGATTTCATTTTAAATATAATTATTTTTAATTTTGTGAAATGTTGATTGTAAGTTTCATGCAGAAATTATTTCTGTTTGACAGTAACTGTAATTAAAATATATCAGATTTTAACTATATTTTAATACAAGATTTTTTTTGATTAAGAAAAAGATTTTTGTTGTAATAATTTAAATGCTCCAAGAAGTTTATTAAAAATACTTGAAAGAGCAGTTTCCCCTCTTTTTTTTTTTTTTTTTTCTCGTAGGAGGTTGAAGTATTTTGGTTTTTTTTCCAGCTTACAATTATAGTTTTAAATTCATATTCAGGTATTGGAAAAAAAATTACAGAAACTGTTAGTATTATTATGTAGCATGAAATTTTTGTATTGGAGCACAGCGTATTTAAAATTTAGTCGATATAGATGTATTTTTCCACATGTTCTTAACGTACTAAATTTGTATTAAGTAAAAAAAAAAAAAAAAAAAAAAGGAGATGGAAATTAGGTAGTATATGTAGAAAATACTTCCCAGAAATATACCCAATAAATTGAAAGAGGCAGGTGAGAATGATATAAATTACTGCCTTTCTTTTTAGAGCATTGGATATGCCTTCAACGAATATTTGCACTAATTTAGCTAAGAGAAGTATGATTTTTAGAACAGTTGTGAAGAACTTTGATTTTCCTTCACAAAATTCCTATTTTAGCATGATGTTTCAAGTTGGCATGAATTTTTAGTTTTCTTACGTGTTAAACAGGATATATGTGAAAGGATGCTAAATAAACTATTTATAAAGTAAATGTGCCACAAAATGTATTTATAGATATGTTTTTCTTTCATAACTTATAAAAAATAGAAAAAATATACATAATGGAAATTATTGCCATTGTCAAGAAGAATATTTTATCGTAAAGTTTTTTCTTGCGACACTAATTAAAGAGTTTTTCTGAAATAATTAAAATGTGTTGTGATCTTTTCTGATTCAATATTTGTTACAGAATATGATAAAAATGACTATTCATTTTCAATTTTTGATTGAAAACTAATATGAGAAGAATGTATATCTATACCTATATATTTACACTGAAATTTGTTTGTTTTTATGTAAATTATTTATTTATAATTTTATCATTAAATGTGTGCATTTTATTAGAAAATCATATTAAATGTTAGAATTCAAAATAAAAAGTTTACTTACTCAGGAAAATTAAAATACTCCTGTTTGTATTTGAAAATGCTACTAGAGGCTGTGAAAAAAAAAAAAAAAAAAAAAAGATCTAATGTGACATATACAATCACTTGTAATTTAATAAAGTATATTAACATTATTTTGTTTTTCTCAGTTTGTTAGAACACCTTATTGAGTACTTGAACAAAATTAAAATCTAATGCTCAGTTTCCTTTTAGGTTTTTGTATATGTAACATTTTGAGATACCCACAAAACATATGGACATTTCAAAATTTATGTAGAGACTTCATACACTGACAATAATAATGCCTCCAAAGCCGAAATTATTAAATATATTTAAACTAAGTTATTTATTAATACGTGTTTCTCATTAAATAATGTTTACATAATAATTATTTTCAGAATTTTACGAGATTTACTGCCTTTTCCTTTTCATTATATGGCTGCATGGAGGGGACAAAAATCCCTAAAAATATTCAGTGAATGCTTTGGATACTGTAACATGCACGAATAATCAGATTATTGCTCAGAAATATAAGCTTATTCTTTGGATTATCATCATGTGCTGAATGTGACACTTTAACAAAATTTTAATATTTTTATAACACAATGTGCTTCATTTGATAATCCTTTAAAAAATCACTTATAATTTGTAACATAACTCTATGTAATAACATGAAGTACTTCAATAGTTCGATATACGTTATGCAGAAACATGACATATGATTGATAATATATAATACTTAATGAGAATGTAGCTGTTCAAGCTGAAAATATATCTCACTGACATCCAGACTAAAAATAACACTGAATATCATCTAATATCTGTACTGTGTTATTTTTGGTACTTTTTTATTATCCGCATCACACATAAAAAATCGCAAGCTCATTGCAGATTTTGGAAAGCATTTATGACCAATTTTTTTTACCAACCTAATGTGCAGAAAAGAACAACCATTTTCAAAATGGCAGCACACTATACATTCTGCATTACAGCAAAATCAATAAAATTTAAAAAGCAAGCAACATACATACGTATGATAAAAAAAGAATCTCTGTGGCTTTCATTCGTGCTACACGTAAGCTAATAGACCCAGGGCTACGAAATTTGGTACATAGGTGCATCTAGACAATAGCTAGTGCACCTTGAAGTGATTTTTTCAAAATTTTATCTTTTCGATTTTATTGCATCATTTTGAATAGTTTCATTCTTTTAGAAATGTGGTTTTGGCAACAGTTTTTCATTCAATTATATACTGGACTGCTGACTGTTGAAAATCAGCACTGTTGCCATTTGGAAAAATGAGGGCGATAATGCTGTGCAGTTTTTAAATTTAAAGTTTCTCTTGGATACTGGACGCTTGTTGAGAGAAAACAACGGGAAGTTTTTTAATTTATTTATTAAGATAATAGTTGTATTAAGGGATATTGCTTATTTCATTGTAATTTTGTTATATGTTTGTTAATACATTTAAAAAAAAATTGTGGATTTTTTTTAGTCCAAAGAGGCTTTGCCCCTGAAGGACTATTGTTTTCATTTTGCGATGGTACACTATAAATGTCTGTTTCACTTTTCAAACTGTTGCTACCAAATGTTAGAGTCCTGCATTATATTTGAAGAAATTAAGTAATGAAAAATCTGCATAAATGTATGTATATTTCTCACATTGTGATAAAACAATGGTACATAGAGCCATCAAATTTTGAATAATGTAATTCTACTGCGAATATGGGCATGTGGAAGCCCAAATTTGAAATTTGGAATTTGTTTTATTATTGATTTCATATTTTGTAAATGAGTTTTTGATTAACAAACTCGAGGATTTCAAAGCGAGCAATGGCAATGTTGTACAGAAAAAACATTTTTATCTCCAGCATGCGAGACTCTGTATCGAAAATTCTAAAGATATACGTAATTTAAACTATTTTTCGATATTGCTCTTGAACTGAATTTTATGGCTTAAGTGTGAATAACATAATATTTAATGGTGCCCACCAGCGGCCGAGCGGTAAAGTCGCTGAACGCTGGTAGTTCGGTCCGAGGTTCGAATCCCGCGAACGGGCTGGCTGCATGGGCGTTCTCATGGTTTTCCCCATGTGTAACGTGTATACGAGCCAGTTTCCCTTAGAAAGTCCTCCACGAAAGGCATCCCTCCTCTTAGGCAGATAGCCCTAGTGTGCTTTGCCATAATTAAATACACCACACCACCATAATATTTAATGAATAAAGGTAACAGGCAAAATGTTAAAAAAAACGCCCCTTCAGATGTAATTTAAAATCTGAAAGCTGTCAGATTTTTTATTTAATTTTTTTTTTTTTTTTTGTTCTGAAGTTGTTCTGTAGAATAAAATTCTGTGCAGTTTTTAAATTTAATGTTTGGTTTTTCCCTTCAGGCATTTCCCCAATACATTTAAAAGCCAGATGAAGGCTGGTCACGTAGCCTGCTAGTCAGTAATAAAAAGCTTTTATTGTCCTCATGTATACAATGATCTGTTTTCACTTAAGAAAATCTGAGAATTGCAGAAACTTGTCATCATACAACATTGGCATTGTGAACCGACCAGAACAGTCATATGCTGTGTGCATATCAGGGCTGCCATATAAATATCTTTGGCATGGACTATTGAGAACTATTTTGGATACATAGGTCTTTGCCACATGAATACTTTTTTGGCACTTGTTTGTGGAGACGTGGATAATCGGGGCAAAACTTATTTTATTCTTAGTGTGAACTGTTTATTTAACACAGAAACTTTAATCATGAGATTTGCTGAGAATGTATTTAAATTTAAAAAAAAAAAAAAAAAAAAGATATTTAACCTGGCATTATATGTGCGAGAACAATGGGGTGCTGGGTATGACATACACAGGACGTGTTCTTCCTCTCTTTTACCATTAAATCTGCACAAAATATAAAACAACAAAAACAGAGAAGAGAAAACATAGTTTTAAAAATATATTAAATTTTTTTCCTTTAATTTTCATATTTCCGGCAAATGCATGCCATATGTTCCATGCTTATATGTTTTTCACAGATAAACCTATTTTTTCTGCCTTTTTATGGCTCCGAATTCAGCACATCTTTTATACGTCGTCTTTGCCTTCGTAGCAGGAGGTGTATTGGCCTCATTTTTGGCCAGTTTTACATTTAGGCTTTGTGAGAGCATTGCTTGTTGACTTCTTATCTTATAATGTTCTATCAGTTGAAATGCCAATGTAACACAGAAGTCTTCTGTTGCCCAGCATTGTTGGGCCGAAAATTGCACTTTTAATTTTTCTGCAGCCAAAATTATTTTAAAAAAATCTTCCTTTGCTGAATTAGATTTTCTAGAGGCATTTCACATTCAAAAAAAAAAAAAAATCTTTCTGTTCTAGTTAACAACCCTAATTCCAATCCATCTTTGCCTTTTAGCCTTTAAGAAAATTATGTTTTAATTCTGTTTCATCAACAGATGGCACCAGTGGCCTATCTCATGTCCAGGCTTTCTTATCTTATCTTGTCTAATCATTATATCTTATCTCGTTCATTTGCACTTTTGCAGCTGAGGATGATGGTTTGGTAAAACCATCGGAACTAGGCCTGTGAAAATTTGAAAATATAATGCTAATTCTTGTTGTTTGACTTATAAATTAATATCCAGTAGTTTGTTTCTTTGTTGATAAAATTATCCTTGCAATTATTGCAGGAACATTCAACATGGAATAAAAAATAGCCATATTCCAACAACGTGTTTTTTAGCCGCTGAATACATTGCAGCCATTTCATCCAAGACATTGACAACACCTTTAGTAAGGTTATAGAAAGTTATTATTTCTGGTTTCACTATCAAGATTAACTGTATTATCATTGTGCATTGTAGATAAGGAGAAGCACATTTCTACTTTTTTTGGGGTTGTGCAACCGAAAAAGGGAGGAGAAGACCTCTCTTGTATTTCTTTTTTATTTTTCCTCCAAGTTCCAACAAATGTTATTTTTTTACAAAAGTTCATGAGAAATTGGATAGGATGTATACCAGTTATCCAGTGTTAAATTCTTTCCTGAGTTATTAGAGTTTCCATTAGTCTTTTTAACACACTAACTAGGAGAGTTATCCACTTGAAACAGACTTTTTGGCTGATGGGCCATGCAAATTTCTAAGTGTAAAAACTCTGAAATTTACCAGCGAAAAATGTTGATTCCGTATTTAGATTTTTTTTGGCATATATTGCCAAAATGGGCATTGACCTCTGAAAGATCCCAGTTTTCATCTATTGTGCTATATTCTCCCACATTGTGCGATGTTTAGCAATTTTCTACAAACTCTTAAAAAAAAAAATCACGTACTGGAGCTACTCTATCGAATTCTTTTCTGCTCTGGCAAGTTTGTGTATCATCAAAGCGAAAGCATCTCAAAAAAAATAAAAACGTGTTGATGTCATAGTTGTACAGAATATTTCAATTCCAGTGCAGTCTGTTGCCCAAGATCTCGTATATATGCATGGGATGATTTATGCAAACCAGTGAGATACAGCAGTCCAATAAATGCTTTAATTTTAGCCTTAGTTTCTCTTGCATCTCTTTAAAGGAAGAGTCCTCTTTAATTGAGCCAATAAAAATATTAGTACATTGCTCTACTTCATTATCAAATCAGAATATTAAAATAAGTTTTAAGCTTCCAGAGGAGAAGCTACATTTATTGAAACACATGTGTTTCCAGGAAGATACAAAATTATGTTTTTAGCAGAAATTCTAACTTTCCACAGAGTTTCATTTTACTCCATTTTGCTATATTATCCTTTCCTATAATATAGTCATTTTCATTTGAATCAGAAAGATCGCTCTCTAAATCAGATTCTATTTCAGCCAAAGATTCGTGTTCATTGTAATTTTCTCCATCATCGGAAAACTCATTACTTTCCTCAAGACTTTCTTCATCAGAAGAAACAGTTATCAAATCAATTTTTTAAATGTCGCATTTCTTCATTGTAACTTCGAAAATGCCCCGTAATGAGAGAACAATTTCAGTGAGTCTAGCTGTACTCAGAATTGTAACAGAAATTGTCATGTTGGATGTGACATACCCTGGAAAGGTGATTTCTAAAT